GCCCGCCCCCGGCTCGCGGTTTCTAGGGCATTGGCCGCGCCGCTGGGTGATCCCTTCGGGCTCAAGTTGCAGGGGGGCGGGCCCGGGCCCGGAGGTGGAGTCTCCCGCCAATTCCAGCCGTGGCTATAAATTGAGCTCCCCGCGCGGTCGCAACCCAGATGCCTCGCCAGGCCGCCTCGAGGCTGGTGGTCCAGGAAGGCGACGGGGTCCGGGGGCCTTCGGGGCCCGCAGCCACCATGCTCCGCTCCCTGCTGCTTCACTCTCTGAGGCTCTGCGCCCAGACCGCCTCGTGCCTCGTGCTCTTCCCGCGCTTCCTGGGCACGGCCTTCATGCTGTGGCTCCTCGACTTCCTGTGCATCCGCAAGCATTTCCTGCGCCGCAGCCACCGGGGGCAGTCCGAGCCCGAAGTGGAGCTCAGCAGTGAGGGCGAGGAGGCGCCCCCCGACGACCCACCCATCTGCGTGTCCGACGACAACCGCCTGTGCACCCTGGCGTCGCTCAAGGCCGTGTGGCACGGACAGAAGTTGGATTTCTTCAAGCAGGCGCACGAGGGCGGGCCGGCCCCCAACTCCGAGGTGGTCCTCCCCGAGGGCTTCCTGAGCCAGCGCATCCTGGACTATGCCCACGGGAATCGGCCGCTGGTACTCAACTTCGGCAGCTGCACCTGACCACCGTTCATGGCGCGCATGAGCGCCTTCCAGCGCCTGGTCACCAAATACCGGCGCGACGTGGACTTCCTCATCATCTACATCGAGGAAGCGCACCCCTCCGACGGCTGGGTCACCACGGACTCGCCCTACGTCATCCCACAGCACCGGAGCCTGGAGGACCGGGTCAGCGCGGCGAGGGTGCTGCAGCGAGGAGCGCCTGGCTGCGCTCTGGTCCTGGACACCATGACCAACTCCAGCAGTTCCGCCTATGGCGCCTACTTCGAGCGCCTCTACGTCATCCAGGGTGGCACCATCATGTACCAGGGCGGCCGGGGCCCGGATGGCTACCAGGTCTCGGAACTGCGCACTTGGCTGGAGCGCTACGACCAACAGCTCCACGGTGCCCCGCCCCGTCGTTTGTAGACCGCCAAGGGATCACAGACCGATCGTGGCGGGCAGGGCCTTCGGGCCTCTGAATCTCACGTACAGGAGGCCCAAACCTCCGAGGTCAAGTTCGGTGGGACCTCGGCGTCGCGGCCATACTGAGCCAGGGACCTCCCTGGGACTCACCTGTACCTGCGTGGCTCGTTTGAAAGCCTCTGGGGATCCTGGGGGTGGCAGGCAGGATGCGCTCCGCTCCTGGGTCCGTCCCAGGGTCTTGCCCCTCCTCTTCCTCACACCTCCCTGGAGCTCCTCGGCCGGCGCGCGGGCACCTCGGCCACGCCCGCGCGCCCTGCGCGCAGCTGGGTGTCGCCAGCGCCGCCAGCTCACCGCTAGTTGCCTGGTACCCACCTGTCGCGCGCGGGAGCCCTGCTGCTAGTGTGTCTACGTCTCGTCCCTGAGGGAGGGGGAGGGGTGGGAGAGCCCGGCCAGGAGAGCCCCCCCCCTTTGTTTTGGGCTCTCGCGAACCCTGCTGCTGATGACGAACCGACTCTAACTGGTCTTGTCCACGAGCCGGCTCTGAACCGCTGAGGGGTCGAAACAGCGCCTAAAGCAAGCGGGGGAGAGTGCCCTGCGTCCCTGCGGGGAACCGCCGAAAATGGGGTGGGAGGGAGAGGGGGGTCGGCTTCGGGACCGGAGGAAGGTGGCTTTGAGGGGCGCTGGCGAGGCTGGGCGCGCCGCCAGGGGAGGAGAGGAGGCCGGAACTCCTTGGAGAGGGACCCAGGTGGTTTTCCTTGGGAAGGTGGAGTTGAGGCCAAGGGCCAGGGGTGGGGCGTAGCCTGGAGTCCTGGGTTCTGGGACTCCTAAGGCGGAGCTGCCGATCGCGGGGCGGAGGGGGGGGGCTGATCCCACGGTCATCCGGCGCGGGTTTGGATGGAAAGATTCCTTGTATATAAAGTTCTTTTGAGCTGCAAAAATAAAGACTTGGAGTACACTGTTTGCCGGGGGCCGCTGGTCCTCTTCCTTCTCTCGCCTGTGAACAGCGATGGGAATTAAAGCCCGGGTCCTCCCCTCGTGCCCCACAGTGACCCTGGAAGGAGGCGGCGCGGGCGCGGGCGGTGGGCGGGGCGGGAAGGGGTCCGCAGGGAGGGCGGAGGGCCGGGAGGGGCTCGGGGTCCCCCCCTCGCTGCCCTGCGTGCCTGCGCGCGCGCCCAGGACTTCCCGCCATCTAACCTCCCCAGCCTCGGTGGACAAGGAGACACAGCGCGGGGAGCTTCGAACTTTCTAGAACTCCTGGCCCACCCATCAAGCTCCTCGCTCCCCCCCAACGGCGCACCTGCCCCCAGCAGGCCCCGCCCGCGGCTGGGGTCCCTGGGCACACGATCAGCCCGGCGTGCCCCAACGGCGGCTTCCACGGCTGGGCTGGAGGTCACGGGGACCCCTGCCCCGGGCACCCCGTCCTCTGCCCCCTGAAAACAGGAACCGACCCCCCACACACACCCTCGCCCGCCGCAGGCCGGGGAGGGGGCTAAGCGGAAGGGTAGAGCCCAGGAAGGGGGTGGGCGCCCTCCCAGCAGCCGCCGCGCCCGACCCCGCGCGCCCCCCGCAGACCCCGGGGTGAGGGCGACGCGCGCCCCCAGGGACACCTGGACGGAGTTTCGAGGTGGCTGTGGGAGCCGAGGCCGGGGATGGGGGGACCGCGGACCCCGGGCCTCCCCGGGGCGGTGCGCACCCCGGGGAGTGCTGAGCACGGGACGCTGGCGGGAGAGGGGGGACGCGGCAGGTGGGTTGGCGGAGACCCCGAAGCAGCCCCCCAGTTCCGAGCCCGGCCCCACGCTCCCCTCCAGGAGAACTTTTTGGGACGGACGCCCTAAACACGGGAAAGTTTGAGTGGCTTTCGAAGTAGCCCGGCTGCTGCTCGGAAGGACTCCACGAAACCCCCGGGAGGA